GGCGAACTAGGATCAGTTGTTTTGGACTTGCTGCCACCACCTGGTGCCATGTTAAATGAACCAGCTTTCGCACTGAAAGGGAATGCGGAAACGTGTATATTAGGATTGCTCTGATACCAAGATAAACTTGATATTTCAACTGTGTGTTTATCTCATTCATTGGTAGCCTTTAAATAGGCGAACATACAATAAATGGTAACAACGTAACAGACTAAAACAAATAAATACTCTATCTAAACAGTCCTACGGTTACAAAGAATTCAAGCAATATACGTTACAAAGAATTCAAACCTACGGTTACAAAGAATTGAATTCAAACAATATACGTTACAAAGAATTCAAACCTACGGTTACAAAGAATTCAAACAATATACGTTACATATAATCTCCAACATCTGCTTTCAAAAAATTGTGATCATATCATGTCGTATCCAAAATATCACATGATGATTGTGCAACCGGTTCAATAGAACATGGAGGAATGAATATTTCAGGTACAACTTAAATTTTAATGAAGGTACTTTTATGAAATATAAGAGGAGTTTTTTTTTTTTAATGGTACATGTTTAGTTTCGCTAGCTTAAGCAAGATTTTTGATTTAAGTCGTTTTAAATACGAAAATTTTTCTTTGGGACAACTAATTTCACTATGATATAAATGTTTCTGCCTCGACATAATTGCCTCCATAGAGAACATTTGTGGTTTATTCAAATTTTTATTTTTTTTTAAATTATAAAATAACATAAGAAAAAATGCTTACTAAAATAAAATATACTTTGTGAAACTTTAAAGTGTTGACAAATGTAATGTAATAAGATAAAACAGGTTGGTAGCCTTTACGGAGTGGAGAGCTTTTTTAGACTTATCCTACTAAAGTTGCGTACATTAAGTCAAAAATAATTGATATATAATTAATGAAATACGATATTATGCTACCTTTTTAAAAAAAAAATCTACTTTATATACTTCTCTCTTTAAATCATAATCTTAACCACAATGAATTTGGTGGGAGAGAAAAAGAATTGGGCGAGATTGTGATGTAATAGTATGAAGAGTAGTATGCAAAATAAATATAAAAAAAAGATAGACACAATAACTTATACCATAATTGATTTTTACTTAAAATATGAGATTCACTTTAGTGCTCTCTTTTTATGGATTTATTGATTTTTACTTAAAATATGAGATTCACTTTAGTGCTCTCTTTTTATGGATTTATTTTTCTTTTTTAACGGTATGGACGGACTATGGATATCAAGGGTAAGTTTGGATGATTTTTTTAATTATACATTACTTTTTAGAAGGATTTTTTTTCAAAAAAATAAGATTCATTGTATATATTAAAAAACACTTTAAGTAAAAAAAATATTTTTTGAAATAAGAAATCTTGGTTTTTAAAAAAATCATTTTCACTTTTTTTTCACTTTTAATTTTTTTTTTATTAAATGTTGAGCCAATTATTTGTAAACTAAAAAAGTGTTTTTATTTTGAATAAAAAATATTATTCAACCTACCCAAATCTCTCACCAATAGACCAAAATTAATGACTTGACTGGATCCAACTCGAATATAATTAAGTTGGTTTAGGCCAAATTAATTCAAAAAATTTCACACACATTATTCACTCGAACCTAACTTAATTAACTTTTTTTTTTTTTTTTTCATTTCTGAAATCGGACCTAACACCCCCTATGCAGCTCACATAGCCTATTGGCCCTATTCACTTAAAATAAAAATATAAAAATATTTATATTTTAAATATGTGATCAAATATTAGCTAATAATTATTAACAGAACCCATACATTGTATCAGTAATATGATTCTAAAATTGTAATAGATTAACATTTTATAAATTCTAACTTAGATGACGAAACTGATTAAAATAATAAAACTTTTTAAAAATGAATTTTATACCGAAAAATATATAGGACTAAATATTTAACGCAGCCCATCTTTTATTAATTTTCGACAAATTAAAAAGTATTTTCAGAGTTATAAAAAATATTTTTTTAATTAATTTTACTTGCTGGTGAAATATATATTAGCTAAGTAAATACATTGTTTTGATTCTAAAAAACGCATAAATAATATACATCTATAACAAATATATCAAATTCAGTGGTCAACAGTAACTGTATGAGTAGAGTACTTGTCTGTCTTAAAAGCTAATAACTTATTTGAAAATTGCAAGTTAAATAATTAGTTTAGTTGTAAGCAATATTTTACCTTGCTGAGGTTTAAGTGAGAGTGTCATTAATATGGCACTTATGATAAATTTTAAAAATAATAATGACATCTTAATTAATAATTAAAACTTCTGGTTTAATTACAAGTACCTGGTGTAACATTAGAGTCAAGGGTACTGTTACAATATTTGATTATCATCAATTGTATATATCATTTTCATGATTATTGAGAATAAATTTTCTTACACACAAATTCGTGGAATTTAAGGGGTTCGTTCGTAATTCAAAAGAGATTTCTCTCAATAATAATTGAATGAATCTCTACTACAGGTGTAATAATAGAGTCAAGAGATTCAATTCAAACACTTTGATATATTTTATTTGTGAGAGAGTGTGTCAGTACTTTTACAATATTTGATTTTAACCCTGTGCATATATCATTTTCATCATTATTGAGAATAAGTTTTCTTACACACAAATTCGTTTAATTTAAGGTGTTCGTAATTCAAACGAGATTTCTCTCAATAATAATTGAATGAACCTTTATTATAGGTGTAATATTAGAGTCAAAAAGTACTCAATTCAAACACTTTGATATCTTTTATTTGTGAGAGAGTGTCAATACTTTTACAATACTCTATGCATATATCAATTTCATGATTATCGAGAATAAAGTTTCTTACACAATTCGCGGAACTTAAAGTCTTTGTAATTCAAAGGAGATTTCTTTCAATAATAATTGAATGAATCTCAGGTGTACATATTAGAGTCAAGAGTACTCAATTTAACACTTTGATATCTTTTATTTGTGAGAGACTGTCAGTATTTTTACAATATTTACTTATAACCCTGTGCACGTATCATTTAATGATTATTGAGAATAATTTTTTTCACACAAATTCGTGGAATTTAAGGGGTTCGTAATTCAATTTAAGGAGATTTCTCTCAATAATAATTGTATAAATCTCTATTACAGATGAAATATTACAGTTAAGAGTACTCAATTTAAACACTTTGATATCTTTTATTTGTGAGAGTGTCGGTACTTTTACAATGTTTACTTATAATGCAGTGCACATCACTTTCATGATTATTGACAATAAATTTTCTTACACACCAATTCGCTGAATTTATGGTGTTTGTAATTCAAAGGAGAATTCTCTCAATAATAATTGAATGAATCTGTATTTTTGGTTTTCATGTAAAACCGATCAATGAAATTTGCTCCAGTAGCACTAGTAGTTTGGTAACGGACAATATATATATATGTTCATCTAATCTTATGTTGTAGACATGAGACCTGTCATTTATAAAAAAAAGAAGAAAAAAAATGTCACGATTTTCAAAGAATTTATAAGAGATAAAAGTACTCTTATGTTACATAAGAGTAATTATATATATATATATATATATTTTTTTTTTGGTCAAGGACAACTGTATTAATAAAGCAATTAGTTGAAGTTAATACTCTCATTAATTGACTTTTGAAAGCACCTGTGCATGGTATCCAGGTGGAGTTGCAAGCTGAATTTGGGAATCCACATATGACCTCAGAGATGAAGCAAACTATTTATATATATTCAGCAATGATGCTCTGCTCCGCACCCCACAGCAAAAAAATTAAGAAAACCCACGTGACTCAAATTCCGTCCACCTGATGAGAAAAATCCCAATGATTATAAATCACCAAGAGCTCGCCACGTCACAGTTTATGAAACATAGCCATGTCTCTGTGAACGAGTGTAACATGCAACAACACTCAAATTAACATTAGCTGTTTTTTGTCCAACCCATGCACTCAAGTTTTGAAAAAAAACTTTCAAATACAAAGAACCCTCCTCATCTTCCTCTCCTCTTCCTAAAGTTAAGTAAGTAAGAGAGAGAGTGAGAGAGAGTAAGATTGGTGTCGTTTTATGTTAAGATGAAAGAAAGAAGGAGAGTCCAATACAAAGCGAAAAACGCCATTGATTTGTGTTGTAAGTGTTTCAGAACTTTTGCAACACCTGGAGGTCATTCTGAAGCTCCATGTTTCATTTGGTTTCACCATCCATCCGTCACTTGATACTTGGCCACTCTCTAACCACCACCACCACCGCACCAACCCCTATGCGCAAAGAGCCAAACCCATGTCCCTTAACCCTGGTTTACGCACTCCCTATTCATACGCAGCCACATTCACCATTGCTAACTCACCCAGCTAGCTATCTAACTCTCACTTTTCTCTCTCTCTCTCTCTTTCCTCAGTGTCCACACACACACATTATTATAAGCAAGCAGGGGAAAAAGCCAAATCCAAAACCAACCATGAATCCGGTCCTCACATTTGGTACCCCATTGCCACCAAACTCATCTTGATTGAGAGACTAACTCCGTTACCCATTACCCATAACCCATTTACAGATAAAAATCTGGCAAAAAGAGAGAGAGAGAGAGAGAATTTATATTATGGTAAAAGTAATTAAAAGCTACCATCAAAGGGAGGGAGAGGCCTGAATGCAGCTTGCACAAATGTCATAAAAAAAACCCTTGCTAAAAATAGAAAAAATCCAAAGGAAAAAAAGAGAGAGAGAGAGAGAAAGGGGGTGTGTGATTGTGAGTGAGAAGAAGAGTGAAAGAGAGTCCACCATTGATCTCTTTAACACCAAACCCCACACCCATTTCGTGATTGCCGAGCGTCGTTCCATACTATATCTGCACACACACTGAGACTGTGAGAAAGAGAACCATCCACAGTCACAGAAAACCAAAAGCACTCACTGTGTGTTTCAAAGAAGAAAAGAAAAAGAAAAAAGAAAGAAAAAAACCCTAAGCTAATGATGATGGATCAGCGACAGCGAGAGAAGCTGCTTCAGAAAACCGAGGCCTGTGGTTTAATGGCAGGTGTTGGGGCTGAGCTTGGCTTTGTCACCGTGACAGGAGACAACAACAAGATAACTCATGGGTCGGGTCGGATGACTCGGATCCATGATCATAACAACCACCTTGGCCTTGCTGCTGCTGTTGCCACCTTTGGAAATGTTCACAGGAAGAAAAGGATGGCCAGGCAGAGAAGGACCACCACCACCACCACTGCAGCCACCACCGCCACCGCAACCACAACCACCAACCCCACCTTGAAGGAGATGCAGATGCAGATGCAGGTCAACCATTTCCCTTCCAAGCACACTACACTAGCTCCTGCTCCTTCTACCTCCACGCACGTGCCACTCTCCCCACTTCCATCTTATAATCCTTCCCCATCTCTCCCAGCCGCACGTGTGAGTTCTCTTTAATTCTTTTTAAATAATTTTTTTCCCCTTCAAATGAAAATCTCATATATAAACTTGATTCTGAATTCTATATCCTTTTTTTAATATACAATATTTCCGATCTCATAAATATATATCTATTTAGTTCTCCAATATATCTGTCCTATAGTAAGATTTGCAAACTGCACATTGGAAAACTTTCTTTAGATGCTTGAGTTTTTTTTTTTTTTTTTTTGTCTCGTGATTCTCACACTTATTTAAATCAGGTTTAAGCAAATCTTTTCCGATGCTAAATGGAAGGCTTTTTTTAATACATATACCTTTATGGTTGAGATATATTTAAATAGTATAATTTAATTGTTTGATCTCCAATTTTTGGAACTACGATATGTGAAGAATGAGAATGAAGGGCAAAAGAGTGGCAGACAGGTCCAGAAATGCACAAGATTTATGCATATAGAATAGGAATAGTGCTATGAAGATTTTTTTTTATTATTATTGAATCCCCCCACCAAAAATAAAAAAAATTAAAAAGAAACATAGAATATGAAGAACAAATAAGAAGAAAATCTCTTGAGAAAAATAAAATAAAATTGATTGCATACTAAATAAAGTTGTTAAACACTTAGGGGCGGTTAAACAAACCAACACGATGTTGCGTCTATATTCCTGATTTGGCATAGTGTCATCAATTCCATACTGAACGAAGTCCTTAAACACAAGTCAGAGAAATATATTTTGATTTCTAAGATTCTTTATAACCTTGTCTGTTTTGTTCAACTTTTATGGGGTGTGGATGAGTTACAAGAGAAGCGTGAAATTTAGGTGATTAATTGCAAAATTGTCAAATATATACTACATGGTTATTCTTATTGTATTACCTTTAATGTTAATTAATTAATGTCTCATCCTTGGAAGTCGAAAATTCCTACTTTTTGTTCCCTATATCTTTGGCGGTGAGCTTTAACAAATAGATTTAAAAACAAAACTTATGATTAGTGGTAAATTGAGGGCTTCACATTTGGGAATTTGTGCATTTCAAGACAGCCATAAGGCATGCTGGACAATGCTTTGGGCACTCTGCCCTCTTTACCACGATTACTATTGACTTAGATGTCCTTATGCTGGACATGGTGGTGGTATTGTCTTAGTTACCCAAAATTTGTATATTTTACATATTTTTTTTATATAATTTGCTCCACCTTTTAGCGACATTTAAGTGAATGTTTTAGTTCAATGTTATTTTTAAATGAGATTGATAACATAAATGTCCTTACAATTTCATTTATTTGCTTATAGGAAATCGATCCTAAAAGGTTGAGATTCCTTTTCCAAAAGGAGCTGAAAAACAGTGACGTTAGCTCCCTTAGGAGAATGATATTACCAAAGGTTTGTTCTTTGTCAATGCTTCTTTACATTATTAAAGACTTAATTACTTGCTAATTACCACATGTGTAAAATATTTCCTCGACTTGATGTGATAATTAGGCAATTAATTACAACTTGCAGAAAGCAGCAGAAGCTTACCTTCCTGCCCTTGAATCAAAGGAAGGAATTCTTATGACCATGGATGATCTAGATGGTCTTCATGTATGGAGTTTCAAGTACAGGTCTGCTATGGATGATTTATTTCATTGGCTGCAAAATATAATTGAAGACTTATATTCTTTTAACATGAGAAAAGTTGATATTGGTATACAATTTAAGGTTATTTTGATTAAATGGTACTAACAATTCAAGTTTATAGGTTATTATATTGTATTTCAATAATGCAGGTTTTGGCCTAATAACAACAGTCGGATGTATGTACTTGAAAATACTGGTATTTCCTTAATTTACTAAAAATTTTGCTCCTTATTTACAAAAAAAAAAAAAAAAAATTTTGCTCCAATTCATGTGGAGTGTTAAATCTTGCATATAATAACATATTCTTTTGCTGAATATTTTCAGGAGACTTTGTTAACACACATGGCCTACGCCTTGGAGATTCCATTTTGGTTTACCAGGATAGTGAAAACCATAATTATGTATGTGTCGCCAAAAACTTAAATTTGTAGGACAGTTTCTTTTCTAATTTTGAAATTCGGTTAAGCTCTCTCCTTTCTTGTTTTGGTACATTCCGCTTCGGGGAAAATGTTTATGCTTTTGTTGCAGAATAAAATATTCTGTCACATTCACATAAAAATGAGTTGGTCCCATTATAAAGAGAAGGGGAAAAAAAAATTGTGGGACTCACTCATTTTTATGTAAATGTGATAGAAAAAATATTTCTACCGCAAAAGCAAAAACATTAAATTCTTCCGTTCAAGTCATTTTAACCGTGTTTTTTTTTTTTTTTGTTGTTGTTGTATGCGTTGTGTGCGTGCAGGTTATTCAGGCCAAGAAGGCTTCTGATCAGGATGAATTTATGGAAGAAACTAGTAATACCATCAATGATATCTTCCTTAATGATTATGAGGTGAACAAACCTGGTTGCTTCAATGTAACCTATCCTGCAATGAACGATACGGGCATGTCATTCATATATGAGACAAACTTCTCAAATGACTCTCCACTTGATTTTTTGGGTGGATCAATGACCAATTTTTCAAGGATTGGGCCAGTTGAAACCTTTGGCTCGGTTGAGAATTTGTCACTTGACGACTTCTATTAATTTGTCACTTACATAAGGGGACACCAATAGGTACCAAGAGGAGCGCTGTTGAATGTGGTTTTCTTCATTTTAGAACTAAAGAAATATATAAAGTGTGTTTTTTTTTTTTTTTTTGTTATCATGACCATGAGAGGATATATGTAGAATAAAAGTACAGCCAACGGACATGTTTTTTGTTCCTCTCTCTTGAAACAGGCTGAGACTGCTCTATGATGTATTACTTATAATTTTTGCTGGACAACATATAATCAATGATTTTGAATGCTCATTATAAATTATATAGCATAATATGCAAGTAAATCATGTAGGAGGGAATTGTTCTAGTTGTTCTCATGACCATGAGAGGATTTGAATAGAATAGTAGAGTATCCACCAATAGGTGGGATTATTCTATGATGTATCTACATAAATGATTTCGGATGTTCATTATTAATCATAAAGTATAATATGAAAGTAAATCATGTTAATAGGGAATTGTTAGCATGAATTATTGATTGCCATAGTACTTGTGCAGTTAGATTTACAATAGTGTTAACGGGTAGAGAGAGAAAAAAGAATCATAATAATTAAAAGATGAATCAATTAATTATATAAGGAAATAAATAAACAAAATAACATAACTTTGTGATAGCGATAAGGTTATCTCAAATGACTTGAGAAATATATATATATATATATATATATATATATAGGAGTTTATATTTCTGCAGCTGTTGTATGTGCAGCAATCAAATACTTACCATATATATTTGAAAACATTAAATGCGAGGAATCATAACCATACAAAGGATGAAAGCATTAAATGTGGAGAATCATAACCATACACCTGTCGTTGTTGTACGTAAAGCGGCTGCAGAAATGATTTTACCACACACACACACACACACACACACACACATATATATATATGAGAAAAATGTGTGTCATTTTAAAGGATATAAAGTTGTGTCATTTTAAGAGAGAGAAAGAGATAGATAAAGGAGGACAGAGAGTTGACAAAAAAAGTAAAGTTGTGGGTCTCACATCTTTGTGAGAGTAAAATGATATGAGTTGTGTAATTTAAAAGGATAAATATTTTTCCCTATATATATATATATATAAGGTAAAGGATTGCTCCAGTTAATGGAGATAAGCAATCTTCGGTGAGCCCAAAACGACATCGTTTAGGGGGCAGAAATCAAGGTGTTTTTGTAATTATAATATCTTGCAGGATTATATTAATCTTTATCATTATAATTTTTTAATTTTTTAATCTCAAAACGACATCGTTTTGAGCTTACTGGAGATAATTTTATCTCCGGTGACTGAAGAAATATTTTTCGCACACACACAGTAATCGAAGGGCTGTAGGAGAAAAATTAATCTCTTGTAACATAAAAATAGTTTTTCCTTATATATACATAGGTTTGATGTTTTTCATGTTGTAGAAGATAAAATTATCTCCTATATACATATAAAAGTATGTGGGGCTATGTGAAGATAATAGTGAAAAAAAGAAAACATAGGTATACACTTTTATGTATGTGTATGAGATAAAATTATCTCCTAAAATATGAGAGACAATAAACCCTTATAAATATTAATAAATTGTCAAAATATAAAATGATATAATTTTTATAATATAGTAAAAATCTTAAACAGATTCTAAATTGATGTAATGTTGTCACAACACTCAACTCTAAATACATAAAATAAATGAAGTAAACTGAATATTAATAGTTTTAGTAATAATTTTTTAAAAAAATTCACGAATTAAAATAAATTATTTATGCAAAGTCTCTTTTTGTATAATTTCAGACTATCCCTTATATATATATAGGGCTTATCATTTCTTAAGCTGCCGAAGATAATTTTATCTCCGGCTACTAAATCATAACCGTACAAAGATGAATCAATGGTAATGAAGGAAGAGAGAAAAAAAGAAAATCATAACCATTCAAAGGTGAATCAATTAATATAAGAAAATAAATAAATAAAACGACGTAGTTTTGGGGTGGCCGGAGATAAAATTATCTCAAGTTGTCGGAGAAATGTTTTTCCTATATATATATATATATGGAAAAAAGAATTCTCATAGTAGAATTCTTTTTCCTAATAGTGATACATCGAAATGTGTGCAACAATTTTTTTTATTTGTTTTTAATGAGATGTGGGACCCATCACATCTTATGTCTATAGTAAGAGAAAGAATTCTCCTACAACATGAGAAAAGAGGGACCCTTTATGAGGAAAAGAATTCTCATGTTATAGGAGAACTCTTTCTCCTACTAGTGATACATCGAAATAAGTACAACAACTTTTTATTTTTTATTTTTTAATGGGAGGTGGGACCCATCACATCTTGTGTCTATAGTAGGAGAAAGAATTCTCCTACAATATGAGAAAAGAGACACCGTATTTTTATATGATTAATGCTGCTTGGTTTCCTATAACGCAAGCGTCTAGGAAAAGGAATGCTAGTACTATATGTTTGCGTCAAGGAAAAGTTTGAATGACGTTGGACAGTACTTCCTTGATCAATAGTCGTTCAAGAGTATTGCGACAAGGATTTAGATATTCCATAGGCAAAGGGACATGTTCCGGGTTATCTTTTTCATATTTCAATATATATGGGCTAGCCTACAAAGGTCCATTAAGGGGTCACATTCTTACCTTCTCATAGTAAGCACATAGACTCCATCTTAGAAGATCTTTCACTCCTTGCACAACACACTTGTCGTACATGATAATGGATCCATTCTTCACTCTCAGTAGTGAAGTGGACAAAAAAGGCCAGACTCATTTTCTCTCTTACAACATTTTAGAATATGATTCTCTTCTATATAAACCCATCTTCTCCCATTGAAGAGACATTTGCAAAACACCATGAGATGTTACTATGCAAAAATCTAGAGCTACCATGCGTATACACATTCCCTCTTTCTCAACCTCTCCTAAGATCGCACATGCGGTCTCTCGTGGAGCTTTGGTCCATACCTCTACTACTTCGAGCACCTATACACAAATATACATTGCCTATTGCGGGATACAAACTGAACTCTGAGTCAGAGTATGAAGACCTAGATATGTATCCTCGAAGGATGAAGTATGTTAATATGACGAAAACGAGAAAGGTAGTGGTATAGACCATATCTCTAAAGAGTCGCCGTAGTGGCCTCAATCTAACTGAGAGTGCAAAGGGTTTTTTTTTTTAAGAACTCAACAAAGTAGCAACAATAAAGAGCGAATGGAGAAGATGAATAGTGAGTGGGCTGAGGTACCATTATATAGGAAGTTGGAGATTCGCTCCAAATTTGTAAATTGTGATGTCATAACCGTTTCTAGCCCTATGAGCCCCACTAGGTGTCAGGTTGTGTGACCCATGATGTATAAAAGGTCATGCATTTGTGGGAAATGTGACGGGACACGTGTACAAAGGAGTCATGTGTTCCACGTGCAAAGTGATGGTGGTCTTGCCAATCAACTATATTTGCAGGCTGGGCAAGTCCATCCAGCTGGACCAAAATAGAAGCTCTCTAGCTTGGTAGTCTATGAAGTCAGAGTGCTAAGATTTCTGGAGAATTTTTTGGTTGAGGGATGTGATATTTATGTTGATGATGGATACAAAATTTGTCATGTCTTGCTTTTAGCTAAAGTCCTTCATCCGGTCGGATGACAGTCTGGCCTGCATTTGTGTTTCTGCATTTAGCAGTGCCTTTTCATGTCTTATTTATAGTTGTGATTTTTTGTTTCATGGCCATGTGGCGCTTGATGGTTGGGTTGTACTTGTTCATGAGTTACGCCTGCAATGATGAGTTTTGCTCGACTGTTATAGCAGCTTTATTGTAAGCCATAAAAGGTCTTTTTTGCCTTTAGATGTTTTGACTGATTTATCCCATCGCTTTATGTGTTTGCCTTTAGTCTTGATTTTTTCTTTAAGTCTTTTTCTTTCCCCCGTCCCTTGAACTTCGAAGTCCTTAAGTTACACTTTTATTTGCCGTTTTCAAAGGTTCCATTTTTATGTTGTGATTCCCACATTTCATTCTACTTTCTCTTTATAGTTCTTGCTCCCTCAGCGCCGAAGGTTCCTTGCACTTTCAATATCTATCCTTCCAGTATTCTTCCGTCTTTCTTTCTACAGGTGACTCCATGATCATAAGTCGCGTTTGTGAGTTAAAGCTTCTGTCTTTCTTCCTTAGGTATTGCCTTCTCTACTTTACTTTCTTGTTTTATTCCTTTTTTGCTATCTCTATCTTGGTTTGAGAATGGTTGCTTCAAAAAGGTTTTATCTTTCTGGAGTCATACTATTTGTTGGGTTATTTGTGAGTATGAGTGAGAGGGGTAGGTCATCAAGGCATCCATCTCTACCACCTAACTATGGTAGCTTTCGTCGCCACAACCCAACAATATATAGGAATCATGGGCATTCTGGAAGTCACTTTTATCCTCCCACGCGCTATAGACATTGGGATAAGAGGAGAAATGTCTTCAGACATCCATCGAGGTATGGGGGTTTTCCTCACGAGATAATGTGGGGCATTCTCCTCTTCCTGAATCTACTTCATATCATCAAATGATGATAAATGTTTCCTCTGGGATGTTTGGGAGGATATTGACTGAGGGAATGTGAGGCTTAATTTGATCTGGCCGGATATTGTTGTAGATATTAGACTTGCAAGCGTTAGTCTGGTCGATTGGTCTACAACTAGCTCTAATCTTCTTTTTCTTCTACCTATGCATCTAGGCTATCTGCTATGGCATCTCAGAATCCCCCTTGATCTTCTCAATCAGGGAAAGACTCTTTGATTTCTATATCAGGTCCATCTTGTAGTTCCTTGTCTTGAATCCTATATAAATGATCAGCCACACGATTTTCTACTCCTTTCTTATCTCGGATTTCCAGATCAAATTCCTTAAATAAAAGCATCCAATGTAACAAATGTGGCTTCGCACCCTGCTTAGTCATCAAATACTTCAAGGAGATATGATCAGTAAAAACAATAACCTTAGAACCTATCAAATAAGGCCTAAACTTATCTAATGCACTAACTACTACTAGCATCTCTTTCTCAGTTGTGGTATAATTAATTTGTATCTCATTTAAAACTTTGCTAGCATAGTAAATAACATGTAAGAGTTTACCCTTACGCTGACCAAGAACTGCTCCTATAGCATATGCACTTGCATCATGCATGAGCTCAAATGGAAGACTTCAATCTGGTGTCGTCAAGACCGGTGCAGTTGATAACTCTCCCAAATGAGAGTTAATTTAGTATTTTTATGATGAATTTGTTGCATAAAATTCATATAAGTTGACCTCTTTTCATGATAATTGAGCTAAATATTGTATATTTATGATTAAGTGCTTTGAGATGACTAAGTATGGAAAATAAGACAATATCCCTTGATTTTGTGTAAGAAAAGATGACTTGTTGAGTGTTTGTCTTTGCAGGAAAAATTTACGTAGGAATGCTATAGCAGAGAAGCTGACGAAGTAATGATATAGCAAGCGCTGCAGCATGACAGCGTGGACAAAGGAACAACCGAACTTTTGAAATTCAAAAGTTAGTTATTCTCCAACCATACACCAGCAAGCAAAGGAAGTTTCTGAAGATTTAATCCAGAAATCACAAGGGTCAAAGACAAATTCAAAGATTGAATCTAATCTTAAAATCCCAAAGAACAAGGACAACAACCTTGGTTCGGTCAACAACATTGGCACAAGAAATCCAAGTAGATAAAGATCTTATCCAAATAAGTGCCAACAAATTCAAAAATCCCAAGGAACAAGGACAACAAACTCAGCTCATATTCGGTCAACAACAACATTGGCACAAGGGTTCCAAGAAGATCAAGATTTTATCCAACAAGTGCCAACAGCCCAAGAATCTAGGGATACGATAAGACTGCAACAGCAAGATTTATGGATTTTCACTCCTAACCCTAAAGCCCAATTATCCAACCACTTTTCCTATTTAAAGTGGAGTTCCCCCACGGATTCAACAAGCGAGGGAGAGGTAAAAAAGGCAAGAAAGAATGGAGGGGAAGAATGTAGTACCCCTCCCACGTTTTAGAGAGAGAAAGTAAGGTTCTTGGAGGAGGAAGAGCTGTTGGAGCAGTGCTGGAGCAAAGCAGTGATGACATTTTTCTACAGCATTCGTTTTCATCTTCTTTTCTGTTTTCCAATGAGTTCTTTCTTTCTTTTCTTTGTTTTATTTAATTCCATTATGAGATAAATTGTTCCATAGGTTAGGTGATAAAATACCTATGCTGTAACATTGATATGTATGCCTAAACTTTGTTTATGTTAATGTTTAATTAGTTATTCAATGAGTTTGCTTAATCTTATTCATGTGTGCATGTCGAGAGATACATATGTGATATTGAGGAGGTTGGGGCCGAGAGTTTTCCAAATCCAGACCCTTGTTGAATTGTGTGGATTAATTAGGTTAATTTAACTTGATTAAGTTGTGGGTAGAGAGATCATTCACACCACATAGCCAAGAACTTGAACTTGAATAATTTAGTGATTATTTTGGCCATAGAGATATGGGAATTAGTTGTTGGGTATATATGTTAGGTTGGTCATAAGCCCCAACATACTTTAGTGTTCGGTTACTAATTAAGCATTGAAATAGCATCGTTAAAGCATCGTTTCAGTATTGCTGTATCAAGAAAATTGAATCTGACCTATATCTCATCCATCATCTTAATACCTATTAATTTAGTTTACTGTTTTCTTATTTTTAATTGTCTTTTATTTTATAAACCCCACCATAAAAATCAATCTTTTTATAATTTCTTTACTTAAATAATTATTGCTTTATAAATCATCTCCGTGGGAACGATACTTGGACTCGCACATCCCTTTATTACTTGTGACACGTGCACTTGCGTATTTGTGTGATTGATTTAATTGATTGCAATTTGCACAACAAGTTTTTGGCGCCGTTGCCGGGGATGATTTGTTTAAAGCTTTTTATTTAAGTGAAGAAATTCTCTCTTATTTCTATCTCTTATTTTCTTTTCTTTTCTAATTCTTTTCTTTCACCTTTCTTCTTTTCTATTTTTAAGTGTTAATTGCAGCGTTTGAGCAGTTCTCCAACAAAGCAAGAAGTGAACTTTAACCTTGAAATTGAAAGGACGTTTCAAGCTCGAAGGAGACAGCAAAGACGTAGCAACGCTATAGTATTACCTGATATGGTAGCAAGAATGGTAGGAGCAAGAGCCAACAATAAAGATCCAATTCAGTCTGAGATATCAATCAGCGCACAAAGAATCTTGGCACTCAAAAACCTTCGTTCTCCAATTGTTCAACCAGAAATTGCAGCAGCAAATTTTGAATTGAAACCAGTCATGTTTGACATGCTGGAAACAATTGGCCTATTTAGTGGGATGCCTAGTGAACACTTCACATAAAAAATTTCATGGAGGTATTAGATAGCTTCAAGATATAAGGAGTTACATCAAACGCATTAAAGATGAAGTTGTTCCCCTTTTCTCTCACCAATGGAGCTAAGGCATGGCTGAACACACTACAACCTAATTCCATTCGAAGATGGGAGGACATGGCTGAAAAATTATTGATGAAATTCTTTCCTCCCATGAAGGCAGCCCAATACAGGAATGATATATCAACCTTCAAGCAATTGCAAGAAGAGTCATTTTATGAGGCTTGGGAGAAATTTAAAGATCTGTTAAGGAAGTGCCCAAATCATGGAATTCCTGAATGGATTCAAATGGAGACATTCTATAATGGGCTTAACGGACCAACAAAGTGCATGGTCGATGCATCATCTGGAGGAGCCCTTTTAGAAAAAAAACATATATTGAAGCATATGAAATTATAGAGAGGATGGCATTTAGCAACTACCAGTGGCCAACAGAAAGAATGAACACACCAAATACGGTTGCTGGAGTGCTGGAGCATGATGATGTATTAGTATTGGCAGAACACATTTCATCTTTGAATGATACAATCAAGTTAATTAACCTGTCTGCTGATGCTAGAGCACAGCAAGTGCATACCATAACCAATGCTATATCATGTGTTTTTTGTAATGGTCCTCATGTTTATGATAACTGTCCAAAAAACCCTCAATCTGTTTGTTTTGTAGGAAGCTAAAACATGAACAATCCATATTCAAACGCCTACAATCAAGAATGGGGGAATAACTCAATTCTTTTATATTCACAAGGGCAGCAACAAGAATTCTCTGCTATAGCAACATATTCAAACATAATTTCACACCCTTCTGAATTTATGCAGCAGCAACAGCCTATTCAACAAGTTGATACATCAAATACGCTGGAAAGCATGCTGAAAGGCTTTATGGCAAGAAGTGATTCCCTTATCCAGAACCAAAATGCATCTATCAAAAACTTGGAAACTCGGATGGGATAATTGGCAGAAGCAATCAAAATCAGACAATATGACACACTGCCTAGCAGCCCAAAGTATCCTACGAGAAACGAAGAGGAGCATATCAAAGCCATCGGAATAAATAATGGAGAAGAACAGGTCAATGCTGTAGCAATAGCAGGTGCTAAAGCAGTAGATGAACCAAAAGTTATAAAGAACTACTATGAGCAGAAGCAGAAGGCATTAAATCAGAATGAAAGAAATAAAGTTGCAAAAGAGGTGGAAATTTATGATCAACCCGAAGAACCTCAAATTGCTGGCACTGAGAGTACTGCTATAGCAAAACTACAGCAGGGTCAGACCATCAGCAAGACAATCATACCACCATCTCCTTTACGTCAAAGGCTACAAAAGCAACAAGATGACATGCAAAAAGAGCAAACCTTAAGTGATCTTGAGGCTAATGTGAAATTGATGCCTATGACTCTGCTAGAGAAAATGGGAATAAGGAGCATAAGGTCTGTAAAGATGACTCTACATTTTCCTAATCGCTCCAACAAAGCATCAATTGACATTGTTGAAAATATGAATGTCAAGATAGGCAAATTTGCACACCAAGTATATTTTGGGATGCTTGACCTAGAGGAGGACCCTACTATTTCTCAATTTCTTGAGGAATCATTCTTTGATACCCGAAAAGTTATGGTAGATATATGGAAAAGTGATTTAGTTTTAAAGATGGATGAAGATCAGGTGCATACCATTGAGTATACGAAAAATGGAATAACAAACCTCGATGATCCTCAATCATTAAAGGTTGAAGGCAAGCCCAAGGTCAAGTTTAAGGAATCTACATGCGAGAAGAGTTGGATCGAAGAATCAAAGTTGTTCTTCGCTCTTTGTTTCAAGCCACCTTGATCATCAATCCAAGTCAGGCTGAAGACTATAAAACAAGCGCTTTTGGGAGGCAGCCCAAAGTTCAATTAGAAAGTTTTTAAAATTTAATTTCAGTACTTTAATTTCTTGCAATTTTTAATTTTCGTATTTTCAATTATTAGGATTAGGATAAGTAAGTATTCATGTTTCTTTTTATTTTTATTTAAGATGTTTTGCAGGGAGAAAAGGGTACTGATGCCCAAAAGAGAAGAACTCAAGCCACAACAAAGGCTTGAGTTTGAAGTCCCCCAAACACTCAAGCCACAACAAAGGCTTGAGTTTGGAGTCCCCCAAACCTTAATCACTTTGAACCGAGGCAACCAAACTGAGTTTGGAGTGGCAACAATGGAGACACCAAGCACCCAAAGTGGAAAAATCAAGGCAAAGATGAAGAAATGAGAGAGGAGGTTGAGCAAAAAGATGAAAATATGAAAGATAATCCCTTAGAGCAAGAAGAAGACAAAGACCATGATTAGAACTTCCTTTGGTTCTGATTTAAAAATGAAGAAAAACCCATGTTGTCTTGTTCTTTTCTTTTTCTTCTCTTTTTGCTATATGTAATCGCTGCATCACTTAAGAAGTTAATGAAAAAGAAGAACATGTTTGCTAGTCAGTAGATTTTAAAGTCGGTAAATTTAAATTTCTGTTTGTGTGAATAAAGAAGTTAGGTATATGTTACAGCATGAAAATAAGAAAAAGAGTTGAAAAATAAAGAGTAACAAGAAGTTAGAAATTAATGTTGCATAAATAAGGTGAAACAAAGTGCATCTTTAGCTATGTTGTTATATTTTTTTTGCTGTAGCAGGACAACAATAGTTACGATGAGTGAGAGTAAATGTTTTTCAACTTGAACTTGCAAAGCAATGGAGGCGTGAATTGGAGGCTGATATGATCAAAGCAGAAAACAAATGGAGTGATTGAACATGAAGCATAAAGAATGAACTTGAAAGCAAGACAAGCCGAAAGAGTTTATTGCGGATGAGGACTTAGGATTCAAGGTTTGATGGATTTGAATCTTACCATATGAGTAAGTCTTGAAGGCTATAAGGGTGAAAGAAGCCGAGCTAAAGCAAGTGCAAAAGCACAAGTGAAAAGAAAGCCCCTCACAAAAGGCACAACACTCTCACGTGTACATTGTTGTTGGAATGCTACATCAGAACTGCTCATCTCAATAATAGTCATTGCTGCAATTATACTACTGAATTTATGCAGGCCAATTAATCATTTTCTTCTTTGTTAGTCGAGGACGAGCAACGTTTTACAAGTTTGGAGTGTGATAACTCTCCCAAATGAGAGTTAATTTAGTATTTTTATGATGAATTTGTTGCATAAAATCCATATAAGTTGACCTCTTTGCATGATAATTGAGCTAAATATTGTATATTTATGATTAAGTGCTTTGAGATGACTAAGTATGGAAAATAAGACAATATCCCTTGATTTTGTGTAAGAAAATATAACTTGTTGAATGTTTGTCTTTGCAGAAAAAATTGACGTAGGAATGCTGTAGCAGAGAAGCTGACGAAGTAATGATATAGCAAGCGCTACAGCATGACAGCGTGGACAAAGGAACAACCGAACTTTTGAAATTCAAAAGTTAGTTATTCTCGAACCATACACCAGCAAGCAAAGAAAGTTTATGAAGATTTAATCCAGAAATCACAAGGGTCAAAGACAAATTTCAAGACTGAATCTAATCTGAA